AGATATCCCAAGTACTTGGGCTCCTACATCCATGTGGGAAACCTGGAAGAAGCTCCTGGCTCCTGGCTTCAGCTTGGCCCATCCACAGCCATTGAGGCCATTTGAGGAGTGAACCAGTGGATGGAAGAAGGCAACCTCTTTCTCTGTCTCTCCCTCTCTCTCTCTCTATAACTGCCTTTCAAATAAAATAAAACCTTAAAAAAAAGATTTTCATAAATAAACTCTGAACATAGTCCAGGTTCTATGCAATGTAACAATGATGAAGGAAGTACTTAACTCTATAAGTACTTAATTTCCAGAGTACTTATTCACATTTTACACCAATGTTCTCTATATTTAAGCATACTTAAAACCAGTGAACTTATTTTCAAATGTTCTAATACTACACATATCGGTAACATTAGTAACCAGAAAATTAAGCTCTAACACTTTCGGAGAGTTATGTATTTAACTACTGCTCTCAAAGCACACATGCACTAGTTCTTTCCACCATGATATTGTTCCTTCAGTAAGAAATTTCAAAAGCAAAAGCATAACTGAGAAGAGTGACCTATTCTACTTTTAGACAACTTGAAGTACTCACAGTAAAAAATCATTATCTTAAAACTTCCTTGCCTGTCAAAGGTTTTGCAAAGCTGATTCAACTGGTCAACTAAAACTTCACTCAAGGAGCCAGCACTGTGGCATAGAAGGTTAAGCCTCCATCTGCAGTGCTGGCATCTCATATAGATGCCAGTTCAAGCCTGGGCTGCTACACTTCCAATTCAGCTCCCCAGTTCAGCCAATGCACCTAGAAAAGCAATGGAAGATGGTCCAACTGATTGGACTCCTGCACCCAAGTGTAGATCCTGGAAGAAATTCCTGGCTCCTGGCTTCAAATCTGCCCAGATCCAGCCATTTTGGCAGTCTGGGGAATGAATCAGCAGATAGAAAATCTCTGTCTCTCCTTCAGTCTCTCTTTCTCTCTGCAATTCAAATAAATAAATAAATCTTAAAAAAAAACTTCACTCAAAAAATTTCATGAGTGTTGGCGAAGTAGTTAAACTATTATCTAAGTACTACAATCTCATTTTCACACTACACATCCAAGATAGAAATGGTGAATAGCTAAAGATCACTTTCTACTGAAAGACTGTCTGACATAAATAGGATATAGTCAGTTCAGTATGTAAATATATTACAGTTATACTTCACATAGCTCATCTGAAATCATTTTCACTGGCAGTCTGGAAGACAAACTACTTAGTTGCATTCCAACTTTACCTATTAATTTATAAAAAACAAAAGTCCAGGTCAATGGAACTACAATATAATTGAAATACTATAATTAATAGATGCAATTTTTAACATGGCTCACCAACTGGTTCAAAAGGCCACAAGCAGGAGTTTCACACCTGCAAGAGAACACATGTGATAATCCTCAAAAAATAATATTATGAATATTCTTGTGATATGGGAATTGATCAAGTTGAATGCCAAACTAAGTTTGACCATGTTATTATCCTAAAATGTCTTTTTATGTTTCTTTATTGTTAACATAGAAAGCTGTAAAATTGATAAGACCTTTAACAAAAATAATAAAATATATTTAAAAAATTAACCTACAGATATATTTCACTTAGGCACTTCTCCAAAAAGTTATACAAAACATGTAAAGTTAAATGTATGAGGATATCTTATGGTTGAAATAACTTGCAGAAAAAAATATATATAATATCATGTATGTAAAAACATGCACATGTAAAAATAACTGTATGTGTTTCCACATAAAAGTTGATTTTATAAGATGTAAAAATGTGATGTGAAAGTGAAATGAGATCCAGCAACCTATGTTTTATATTGTATAAGAGAATATAGTCATATGTTAGTTGTATAATTAATGGTTAATAGAGGGGTAGGCATTTGGCCTGGTATTTAAGACCCCAGTTAATATGTCCATGTTCCACATTAGAGTGTCTGGGTTCAATACTGGCTCCTGACTCCAGCTTCTGCTAACAGAGACTCTGGAAAGCAGTGCCACCACATAAGAGACCTGTCTTAAATTTCTGGCTCCTGGCTTTGGCCTGGCCTAGCTCTAGCCATTATGTCATTTAGGGATTAAATCTGCAGATGGTGGCTTGTTCTGTCTCCCTGCCTCTAAAATAAATAAGTAAAATTAAGAAAAGTAAGTTTAAAAATAGGGGGGAAATTGCCAGTACAACCTTACTTTCCCATTTTCTTAATATATAATCTTACAGATGTCTTTTCATTTAAAAAATTCTGTCCCAATAACATAAATACTTATACTTAAGAATATGGGAACTCCTTTCTGAATACTTAAAAAAAATAATACAATTGTAATTTCTAATAAATGTTATTGTTTTGCCACACAAAAACTAACTGAGGAATCTTTGGAACGCTCAAAGAAATTTATGATGGTCTTAGTACTTTAAACACTATTTCATTTTTTAAACAGTTCTGTACTTGAATTACTAGAGACTTCTTCATTTCCTATAGTCTTAATAGCTCAAGATCCTAAAATATGACAGGAATGTTTCAACATTCTTCATGGCTTTAATGGTAATATTTTAATTTTTATTTGATTCTTAACATGTAACACATCTTAAAGGAGTACACAGTAGCAGGTCTCAAATACAGTTTTATATTCATAATGTTTTACAAAATTTAAAAAATCCGAACTGTGAAAAAGCTTTAAAGTTGGAATACAGTCATAAAGTTTCAAGTTTACCATCACCATAAAGAGAAAACCACACTCATTTGAAAATCACAATTACAGGGAAAAGAACAGCAAAGTTAGGCACATGGGGAAGAGAGGACACCACAGAAGTAGGAAAAGTGGAAGAAACAGGCAGAAACATGACGCATCATGTGTGAAAACGATACGTATGTTGAGGTTGGCAAAGGATCAGCAGGACAATGACTTCACTACCTATCACACCTCCCAGAAACACACAGAACCATGAACAAAGCACCAAAATACACACTAGTATCAACATCCAGTCAAAAAGCTCAAAAAGTAAAAATAAGTAGCCAGGAAAAAATTTTAAAATGCAAGGGGTCAGAGGGCACCACAGAAGTCAGCAACTGCATTTCAACTCCACTCCTTCTTAGTATAAGCATAAGAACTGTTCTCTTCCTGAATATTCACCAAATTTTCATACAACATATCTAAGAAAGAGAGAAAACGTGAAGCCTTGTCTTTCCAAAATGAAAACAGACTATTAGAGACAAACAGAAAATCAATAAATATAATTACTCAAGCAGAAATTCATTTAGAGAACTATGATAAGAGATTCTCACAGAACGTTAGTTTACATAGACATAAAAATGTATGCACATGCATGTTTAAGGTAAACTACCATAAAGTCAAGAATACCTGTACAAACCTTCAATAGCAAGACCACTGTTTTGCCTCTAGAGGGCGAACCTGGTCTTCTGGAAAAACTAGACAAGAGAAGTTACTTTCAGATTTTATGAAAAATATAAGATGTCACAACAGCACAGGTTCTTAACCTTCCTTGATTAGCAGTTGCCCTAAATGCATGAGTAACTGTTTCACACTGACCCTAAACCACAAGAAATGTTTCTGTTAATAAGTAGCTATGTCCAAACAATTTGATAATTATATCCTAACAGTAACCATTTATAAAATAACACACATTTTATTTTATTCCTAAATAAATGCAATTAATTGCTGATTAGGCATATATATCTGCTGTATACTGTACAATTTTTTAAACATTGAAATCAGATTCAATACCATCAACCATCATTTCCAGTCCCACACTGAAGTTTTACACAGTATCTTCTTTTTTAACACAACTTAAACCATATTCACAAAGATACGACACTTCAGAAAAAGTATGTTAGCACCACCTAATGTTAAAACTATGTATTACTTATATTTCAAGTTAACAGTGTACACCAAATCTGGAAGCTGCAGAATATTACTGAGTTTGCCACAAAAATCAAAAATACCCCATGGCTTCCCTATGTGTTAGCTTCAGCAGCCCAGAGAATGGGGCACACAGTTTCCAAATCACTGCACCATAGTTTTAAGTCCCAGAGAGCATTTAAACTATTTTAATTACTTATAAGTAAAATTAACTACAATAAAGTTTTTAGAGATCTCAATATTGGCTTCCTGTATTACTTGGGAGACCAGTTTTTCTTTCAAGCAATAAAAGGAACACTAAAGGAATGCTACTAAATCCTTAAAAGATGTTTTTTCCAACTTGAATGATAATTATTGCCTACATATGATGATTTTAATAAACATGAGTTGCATTAAATCTAAATTATAATTGGGAAGGGGAAAAAAGGAAATTTACTGTATCCTCTCTCAGCAACAATTTCTTCGAACTTCAAGTCACTAACAATCAATCCAGTCTTACCACTTTCCAGTCTCACTGATTTAATACTAAGGAGCGTAAGTTCAGGAGTCATATAAGATCTGAAAGTCTTAAGAACTCAAGAGTATGGATTTTAATAAGGATAACAGAAGAACTGGCTTCCAAGTTACTAGAAATATTGTGTACTAACTCTTCTCAATTACAAATTCCCTAGTTTAGACAGAACACCAGAAAATCAACAACGGAAACGATTCAGCCTCATAATTTACTCAGTTTTTGCCTTTTCCTCTTTCACTATTCACAACTATAAATATTGATGAAAACTGTGCCATTAACAAATGCTATCAAATTCAAGTTCAACTAGAAGTCAAAATATGTGGTATGTACTTTAAGTGGTTTTTTAAGCTAACCAAAGAATAACTGGAAAACAGAATCAATGTTATATCGCTTTAAAGCATTTTTACAAGCATAAAAGAAAATAGAAAACACTGTGCTGTTTTAAAAACAAATTTAAGAAGGTTTCTATAAATAGTTACAATCCAAAAAGTATACATCTAGAAAAACAAGAATGTAGATGAATATAGCTAACTATCAAGAAAAGAATGCTTGGAAAGGCAGCACAAACTACATGGCCATTTTAGTACTTACCTGTTGAATGATTTTGGAAGTTTTCTGAAGATTCTCTCTGGGAGGGACTTTACCAAATAATTTCCAACCAGGAGCACTAGGGACAACTGATTTGAGTTCCTTAGTCCTTTTTGGAAAAAGGTTTCTGAAACAAAAAATTACATGAATGTGTTTTTTGCAACCCGGGAACTATTTAGTAATTTTTAAAATATGTTTATTCCTAACGCAAATATAAAATACTTGTAAATAACATTCCTACTTATACTACTATTATTGTGGTTATTAACAAGACACAATAGTATCTGGCTTTATAGAAAGGTTGTAGAAGAATTATCATTAGAAATAAATAACAAGGGACCGGAGCTGTGGTGTAGCAGGTAAAGCCGCCAACTGCAGTGCCAGCATCCCATATGGCTGCCAATTTGAGTTCCAGCTGCTCCACTTCCCATCCAGCTCTCTGCTATGGACTGGGAAAGTAGAAGATGGCCCAAGTCCTTGGGCTCTTGCATCTTCGTGGCAGACCCGGAAGAGGCTCCTGGCTCCTGGCTTTAGATTGGCGCAGCTCTGGCGTTGTGGCCAGTTGGGGAATGAACCAGTGGATGAAGACCTCTCTCTCTCTCTCTCTCTGCCTCTCTTTCTCTCTCTGTGTAACTCTGACTTTCAAATAAATAAATAAGTCTAAAGGAAGGAAGCAAGCAAGGAAAGAGGGAGGGAGGGAGGGAGGGAGAAATGACAGCCATAACCAAATAAAATAAAAATGTTTGCTTTGAATTTATGACTAATGTCCTTGGCAATAAAAGCTGAGAATCCAGAGTAGGAATTGTGGCACACCAGGTTAAGCTACTGCTTGCGATGCCCGAAACCCCTATCAAAGTGTCAGTTCAAATCCCCACTCCTCTGCTTCTGATTCAGCTTCCTGCAAATGGACTTAGGAAAGCAGTGGATGATGGATCAAGTAATTAGGTTCCTGCCACTCACATGGAAGACCCAGATGGATTTCCTGCCTCCTGGCTTGGGTCTGGCCCAGACCTGGTTTTTGTGGACAATTGGGAAGAAGACTGGTAGATGAAAGAGAACTCTCTCCCTCTCTCGATTATGCTTGTTCTCACTCTGCCTTTCAAGTAGATGAAAATAAATGAGGGGCCGGCGCTGTGGCGTAGGAGGTTAAGCATCTGCCTACAACACCAACATCCCATATGGGCGCTGGTTCAAGACTTGGCTGTTCTGTTTCCAATCCAGCTCTCTGCTGATGGCCTGGGAAAACAGTAGAAGATGACCCAAGTGTTTGGGCTCCTGCACCCACATGGGAGACCAGGAAGAAGCTCCTGGCTCCTGGTTTCAGAATGGCCCAGCTTTGGCTGTTGCGGTCATTTGGGGAGTGAGCCAGTGGATGGAAGACCTCTCTCTCTATTTCAATATCTCTCTCTGTAACACTGCTTCTCAAGTAAATAAATAAATCTTAAAAAAATGAAATGAATAAATAAACTTTGTTTTTAAAGCTCAGAATTTGAGAACAAAAAGAATCTATTAAAATAGTTAAAGGCCGGCACCGCAGCTCACTAGGCTAATCCTCCACCTGCGGTGCCGGCACACCAGGTTCTAGTCCCGGTCAGGGTGCCAGATTCTGTCCCGGTTCCTCCTCTTCCAGTCCAGCTCTCTGCTGTGGCCCCAGAGTGCAGTGGAGGATGGCCCAAGTCCTTGGGCCCTGTACCCGCATGGGAGACCAGGAGAAGCACCTGGCTCCTGGCTTAGGGAGCCATTTGGGGAGTGAACCAGAGGGTAGAAGAGCTCTTTTTGTCTCTCCCTGTTTCAGTCTGACTTTCAAATAAAATAAAAGCCTGTCAAAAAAAAAAAAAAAGAATATATAACCAAAGAAAAAAGTATCTCAATGAAAAGCCTGAAAGAACAAGTATCGAGAATTGTTATGTATTAGCTCCATGTTCTAACCAATAACATTAAGTACCTATCTATTTGCAAACATAAGCAAGCATCATATTCAAAACAGGTATTCAGGGTGGGTGTTTGACCCAGCAGTTAAGACACAGATTGACATGTCATCATACAATGTCAAACACCAAACACCAAACCCAAGACTCTATCATATAAATATATAAATATATATTAAAAGTATAGTATATTGATAATAAGGAAATGTTCTTCTTTACATATTTATCTTTTGAAAGGCAGAATGACACAGAGATAGAGAGGGAGTGTTGAAACAGATACAACAGCAAGAAAATATAAGATACTTGGGAATAAACCTAACTGAAGTTTTTTATAAAAAAATGTTTTATTTATTTGAATGGCAGAGTTACAGAGAGACAGAGGGAGAAACAGAGAGAGAAACGGCTTCCATCCTCTGGTTTACTCTGCAAATGGCGACAACAACCAGGGCAGGCTAAAGCCAGGAGCCAGGAGCTTCTTTCACATCTTCCACGTGGATGCAGGGGCTCAAGCACTTAAGCCACTTCCACTGCTTTCCCAGACAAATCTGCAGGGAACTGGATCAGAAGCAGAGCAGGGGCTGGCGCTGTGGCATAGTAGGTTAATCCTCCACCTACAGCATTGGCATCCCATATGGACACTGGTTCGATCCAGCTCTCTGTTATGGCCTGGAAAAGCAGTCGAAGATGACCCAAGTTCTTGGGTTCCTGCACCCGCATGGGAGACCTGAAAGAACCTCCTAGCTCCTGGCTTCGGATCAGTGCAGCTCTGGCTGTTGAGGCCATTTGGGGAATGAACCAGTGGAAAGATCTTTTTCTTTGACTCCTCTCCCTCTCACTGCTCTCACTGTCTGTAACTCTACCTCTCAAATAAATAAATAAAATCTTTAAAAAAAAATAAGAAGTGGAGCAGCCGGTACTCAAACCAGGCCACATGGGATGCCAGCATTGCAGTTGACAGCTTATTCCATTACACTTACAGCATCAGCCCTAATTAGCAGGGAGCTGGAATGGAAGTAGAGCAGCTGAGACTCCGATTGGCACCAATATGTGACACTGGCACCACAGAAAGCAGCTTTACCCGCTACACCATAGCACTGGCCAGAAAGCTCACTATTACAGAAAGGAAATCACTCTCATAAAAATGTTCATTCTCCTCAAATTTACCCATATATTCCATGCAATTCCCATTAAAAGCCCAACAATATTTTGAGGAACTTGAAGGAAAAAAACCCCTAAAATTTATATTAAAATATCAAGAATAATCAAGACGCTTTGAAGATGAACAAAGTTAGGCTGAGTTAGTTGCACTATCAGAAACTCAGATTTACCATAAGTATGGTAAAAGTCAGGAATAAAGAAATCAATCAAGGGACTGGCACTGTGGCACAGAGGGTAAAGCCACTGCCTGCAGTGCCGGCATCCCATACGGGTGCCGCTTCAGGTCCCTGCTACTCCACTTCAAATCCAGCTCTCTGCTATGGCTTGGGAAAGCAGAAGATGGCCCAAGTGCTTGGTTCCCTGCACCCGCATGGGAAACCCAGAAGAAGCTCCTGACTTCAGATCAGCACAGCTCCAGCCATTACAGCCATTTGAGGAGTGAACCAGCAGATGGAAGACTTTCTTTCTTTCTCTCTCTCTCTCTCTCCCTCTCTCTGATTCTGTCTCTGTAACTCTGCCTTTCAAATAAATGAATCCTTTTTAAAAAAGAAATTAATCAAAAGAAAAAGAATACTCTCTCAGAAACAACTTCAAGCATAAATAGAAACAGAACACACTGCAGATCAATGAGGAAAAAATAGATCATTTAATAAATAGTGCTAGCAACTTTGGTTATCAATGTTAAGTAAAAATGAAATTGGATCCTTACTGCATACCACACATAGGAGTCAGTTGCCAATGAATTAAACAGTTATAAAAGGTAAGCTCTAGGGCTGGCGCTGTGGCATAACAGGTAAAGATGCCATCTGCGGTGCCAGCATCCCAAGTGGGTGCTGGTTTGAGTCCCAGATGCTCCGTTTCCAATCCAGCTCTCTGCCGTGGCCTGGGAGAGCAGTGGAAGGTGGCCCAGACGTTTGGGCCCCTGCACCCACGTGGGAGATCCGGAAAAGGCTCCTAGCTCCTGGCTCCAGATAGGCCCAGCTCTAGCCATTGCGGCCATTTGGGGAGTGAACCAGCGGATGGAAGATTCTTTCTCTCTCTCTTCTCTTCTATCTATAGCTCTGCCTTTCAAATAAATCAATCAATCTTTTTAAAAAAAAGGTAAGCCTTTAAAAAAAATTTATTTATTTATTTGAAAGCCAGAGTTACAGTTAAAGAGAACAAGAGGGAGAAGCAGAGAGATCTTCCATCTTCTGGTTCATTCCCAAAACAGCCACCCTGGCCAGGCCAAAGCCAGGAGCCAGGAACTTCATCTGGGTCTCCCCAGGTCTACCCTTCTATGTGGGTACAGGGGCCCAAGCAGTTGGGCCATATTCAGCTGCCTACTAGGCCATTAGCAGGGAACTGGATTGGCTGTGGAGCAGCCAGGACTCAAACCAGAGTCCATATGGGATGCTGGTGCTGGCTACAAAGGTAAATTTTTAAAGTTTAGAAAGACACACAGGAGAGGCTGGCATTGTGCAAAAGAAGGTTAAGCCACCACCTGCAATGCTTGCTTCCCAAAGCATTGGTTCAAGTCCCAACTGCTCACTCCCCATCCAACTCTCTGCTAATCCACCTGGGAAAGCAGCAGTTTGCCCATGTGCTTGGCTCCCTACCACCCACATTTAAGACCCAGGCAGAGGTCCTGGCTCCTAGTTCCGGCCTAGACCAGCCCCAGCAGTTACAGCTATTTGGAAAGTAAAGCCAGGAGCCAGGAACTCCATCCTGTCTCCCATGTGGGTGGCAGGGGCTCAAGTATTTGGGTCATCTTCCGCTGCCTTCCCAGGTGCATTACTGAAAGCTGGATTGGAGGCAGAGCAGCCAGGTTTCAAACTGGCTCTCCAATAACAGCTGTCATTATTGCAAGTGGTGGCTTAACCTGCTGCGCCACAATGCTGTCCCCAGCATTAATGGCTTAAAACTTGATGAAGTCACAAGAATTAAAGATTTTTGTTCAAAGAACAGAAAAGACACAAATTTGGAGGAGCAATTCCAACACATATTAAAAAAATGTAAGTACAGGTTAAGCATTTCTAATTCAAAATCTGAAATCCAAAAA